TCCGCAAACAAAATTTATGAGATTAACAATTGAGTCTTTGCCGAAATGGTTAAATAAATTTTATGACTACAGATGAATCGTATATTTCTTAACAAGAAGCAATGCAAAATATATAATTAATCACAGGGGAGACATACTCCGGCGTTTTAACGAAATATGCTAAGAAAACGAAGAGATGGAAAAGAAAAATAATACGCAATTCCCTAACAATGTACGTATATTGCAAGTAACTACCAAAGTTACTTACCTACCTACGTATACGTATATTATGTTATAAATATGAAAAAAAGTAAATGACCTGTTTTACATGCTTATCGTGCCTTAAGACGTGCGTAATATATAATGAAGAAGAAAAAAATAAAAAGCAACAAAAAACAAAAACATTAACAAAAGAGGTTTTTTTTTTTTTTTGTTATTATTATGTTTAGGTTCCATAAACAGCACATGTTTGTAATGAACATAATGGCCAATTAATAAGTATTTAAGCGCACGCTCTATTTATCTCGATTACATATTAATGACTCACGCTTTACGTACTCGCTTATGTTCTCCTTCGGGTGACTCTTCGTTTATTCATATTTCATACCCTGGCGAAGATATACTTGGACTATGCATATGTAACAAAAGAGTTTGTACAGCGATGGACATAACGGTCTACAAATCTAAAAATATCAAATCGAAGCTACATCGATATTTTCTAGACAACCTATTAAACAATTAGAGGAATAAATTTTAAACTATTTCCCTTCACAGTCGAAAAAACGTACTCAAGCTCCAGCTTGGACACATCTTTCTTATATTGTTTCACTGAGCAAGTTGCGCGTTTAATGAGCGAACAGATGATCACAGATCATGTTACTTGGTAATCTATTAGAAATTGTCGTCAACGTAAATTCCCTTTGCAATATGAGTATCATTTTCCAAAAGCATTATTTTATCACTTTACTAAAATTTCCTGAAATTTATAAGATTATGTAAAGGTTTGCTTATAAGTCAGTAAACTTTTCGCTACAATTCTCTGTTGACTTAATTCATTGATCACAGATCATTAGTAGTAGTAGTAGTAGTAGTAGTAGTAAGCTTTATGGTCCTTAAAAAGAAATTTTAATTGCACAGTTTTGCAACAGTTTTGTTGTTTCAATAGACGCTTGTGTATGTCTCGGCAGCCAGATATGCAAGATTGAGACCCTTTTTGGAATTTTGGAATTCCTTCAGTATTGACATTGATTGCAAGAAAATGCCATTCCAATTTATGGCAAAGTTGGAATCGTTCATAAATTTTATCTGCTGTCATATAATCGGGTTCTTCTTGCTTACCAGTAACTTTTGTTACGTAATTTATAAAATCATTATCCCTTAGGGTGTCATCCTCAATCATTTCGACAAGATGATTTGCATTGAAAGTCACTCTTCTTCTATCTACTCGTTAAAACAGACAGAACCTGGCATAAGCACTAGTCGCCCACTATCTCCTTAGCAAAAAACCAACTGAGCGACCTAACAAGAGGCGCGCAATCCGTTTCAGGAGAAACTTAGCTGAAAATTCTTGTGTTTTCAAAAATCAAATGACGCGATTAAAAGAATTCAATACAAATGTAATGCAATTGTACTTATGTGATATGATGAAACTCATGCATATTAAAAATCGAAAAAACTAAATGGCCGATCAAATCCACGATATTGTCAATAAAAATTTATAAATTCTTGATTAACGTGTGTGTGGCTTTTCGTTTACCTTTACCACTTCAAAAGTCTATCGAGAGAAGCAAATTGGATTCGAAATGCTTCCTTTTTACTATCGTTACTTTAAATTGAAAACTCATCAATAAATGAATTTTCATATTCATTTGCGATGAGCAAAACAGCTACAAACTTGTCCATAACTGTTTCATGCAGTACATAACTGTTTCACGTGTATATGTTGCGTTCCGCATGTTCTTGCAAAAGAACATGGATGCCACGTATGTGTGATATAAAATAGTCTGTCAGCATTAGTAATAGACTTGACTTTGCTAAATTCGTCATAAGTACCTTTTTATTGCACTGCGTTACTTGCAACTTGAATATCTCAGTCTTTACCCTGTTGTCTTAATCTCATATTATCAAGCGGAAGGTAGATAATCGATTTAGCCCTTCATTCTGCTTTGCTGGTGTTCCTATATAGACTTGTCGGCTAGTGCCGAGAAGTAATACACAATCAATGCTCGCATTAAGCTTCAATTGCGATAGATGCTACTTAAACAGACATAACTTTTCGACTATTGTTGAGTTCATTCAGCTGGAAAACTGTAATGAAAATAAAGCTTAAGAGCGCCACCGAGAGCATAAACGATTAAACGGAAAACTCTTGTAAAGTCCCTGAAAGTCCCCATTCCTAGACGATTAATCTAGAATGGCCATCGATTTCACTAAGAAGGTGCACAACAATTACATAGGCTATCGACGAAAAGTGTTTGCATTACTTCTTACACTTGTCACTGCTATCGAATATACACCTACATCGGCAGCCTATAGCTTCGCAGTTTGCAACATATTTCGCTATGAAAATACACCAGCATGTTTTTATGTATCTCTCAATGAAGTACTCTACTCCAGGCTAGAATAGCAATAGATTGTTTTACAATGGAATATAGATGAGGAGGCCAATGTATCCTAGTCTGCCCTTTTAATTGAAAACCTTGTAAAGGGTTATTAACCTTCATCATTGTATGAATACATCAATCTATTACAATAAACCATTACACGTGGAGTAAGCAAACCAAAATCAATTGAATACAAACTCTAAACTCTTCGTCTCCTTTTGGCTCATTGAATAATATCAGACTAAATACAGTACTATTCAATCCACTCGGGAAGTAATAAAAAATTAAACACAAAAAAAAAAAAAAAAAAAAAAATGGTGCAATCAAAATAGCATCATAAGTAATATCAACGATCCTGCGATCATATTCCATTCACATTTTGCACATTCATATATTATGTCAAAATACTATTATCAATCATTATATTTCAATGGGTTGTGCGGTGAAATATTAGATATGGGAAAATTTTTACATTAAACCGCTCTCTCAAAATAGGCATTTTTATATGGAATTGAATTGATTCAATCCATTTTGATTCAATCCGGTTAGCTGTAGAAGGATAACAAAAATAAATACGAGGGCACCAGAAGGGCTATCATACTTAAATCCTTTCAGATAATGATCCTGGCGTTGTAAAGAAACTCTTACACAACATTGCCCGCTACAAATACATATTAATAACAGTAAAAGGATTTTGTTTTTTGTTTTTTTTTTTTTTTACAAAAAAAGAAATTATTCATTTTATTATGTGCGTGTGTACGACACTTTTTTTAAATTTCTTCTACATACAAAGCAATCATTTCGTTACCAATATTTCTCGGGTAGATGTGTTTATTTGTGTGTACGTGTGTATATACATATATAAAACTACTACAAATCTGAAAGATTAAAAATACTTTAAAAGGTTCTGATAGTGGTCTGTTACTTGATTGATTGATTGATTGATTGATTGATGATTTTATAACGATTCGAAGTTTTCATGATTCAAGACTGAGTTGGAATAATTTATAAAGCAACCAATTAAAAAGAGTAAGAAAGAAAGAAAGAAAGCAAGAGAGAGAGAGAGAGAGAGAGAGAGACAGAGAGAAAGATATAAAGAGAGAGAAGGCGTGAATCTGTGCGTAGAGGTTAATGAAGCAATATACTTGTTCCAGATGAAGGACGGTTCCTTCGGCAGCCCTCTTGCAAATCTGTAATAATAAGTAAATACCGCAAAAATCGTCAATTTACTCTTATTTCATATAAGTGGTAAGCATTCATTTCGTCCTGGCTGTTTGCTAGCTCAGAAGGACATCAAACGACTCAAGTCTGCCGTTGCATCTGCGATACATACACCTGTCTACATGTATATGTGTGAGTGTTTTTATTTTGACTTACGTGCTAAATGAGTTTGTATTTTATGAGGACATTTACCACATATGCTCTAATTGATATATTTATGTATGTACGTATATATGTATGTTTGTATTGATGTATTTTTTTATTTTTTTTTTTATATACTTATTCTTTCTCTTGTTTTTCAATGAATTTTATAAAAAATTTAGAATTTTTAATTTTGAGTTTTGTTTTTTGTTTTTTTTTTTCATATATCGAAGAGACGTTTTGTTTTCATATCCACTGGATCGCAGTTTAGAATTTTTGTTATCCAATAATTTACAAAAATAAAGTAAAATAGAAGTCAAGGGACTTGGCATTAACCTAGTAATGCAGCCTTGGGTCTGTTTCTTTGTTTCATTTTTTAAATAAATTTTGAGTTTTGCTCCTATTCGCTTCTCTATTGTGTCCTAAAAGGTCGACTGAAGTGTATGTTGATAGTTTTGGTTTTTTTTTTTTTTCTTTTTTTACTTTTATATATAATAATAAATTTGTTTGTTTGCTTGTTGTCGTTATTATTCCCTTAACCTAAGCAACTTAATCAGTATCACATTTTAATGAGTTGGAGATCTTGGCAAATACTTTTTTTTATACAAATACATAAAATTTTGTTTTTTTTTGTTTTTTTTTTTTTTTGTTTTTTTTTAATCATTTCGTTTCATTCACATATCACTTGACATCACATCGAAGAGCCTTAATAGTTGCGGTTGAATTGCATGAAATGCTGCCAGTCTGTCAACTGTAATGAATTAAGTGTTTGAAACTCGAATATAATAACTAAGTGTCTATGTGTGTGTTTTACCTTCTAAAGGGTGGTGGGAGACAATAACAGATTATTGTTAAAAATTTTTTTATATATCTAAACAAATTTTCAAAAAAAATTATTTATTAAAAAAATTTCTTATATTCGCTTACGTCGAAGTTTCGAGATTTTTTTTGTTTTTTTGTTTTTTTCTTTTTTGTTTTGGGTTTAAACCTAGTCTAATAAAAAAAAAATAAAAAAAAATAGCGGGTGGAAAGGGGGAGAGGGGCTGGTGGGCTTCGTTTTTTTTTTTTTTTTTTTTTGGTTTTTGGTTAACTAATTTATTGATTTGTGGTTTGCGTTAACATAAATAAAGTTTAGCTTGAATAGATTCATGGGAAATTCATTTAGAAAAAAAAAAAATGAAGTCATGTATTGTGTTCAAAATGTATTATTACGTCCGTTGGTCCGCAAGTTTAGCAGAAGCTTTGCAAATACGGCTTATGTTTAGTAATATTAAAGTCGGGACTTATGGTTATAGTGCGCGATAGATGTTTCATGAACTGTGGTAACAATGACGTCCAGCCGCGATGATCTTGACGCAATGTGACGTATATTTCATAAACGGTCTTCGAACGTTGTTTATTCAAGTCCAGTGTAGCAATGCGCCGCGAATTATGGGGCTCATCTTCGAATTCGATGTAAATGATGCATTCACGCAGACCATTTAATTCTTCACGAGCTAAACGTAAAATTTCCAACGCTATGCGTGGCGTGAGATCACAGGGAAGCGATACCTCGGTGCATGCCAGATGGCGTGATTTGGCTGCACGCAATTCTTCCAACAGGCGTCGTGACAATTCTTGTACAGCCGCTGTATTTAATGCGTTTGATGTTGGTGGTATAGTTGTTGTTGTTGTTGTTGTTGTTGTTGCTGTTGTTTTAGTTTTATCACAGTTTAATTTATTTGAGGAGTTGGAGGTGTTTATTGTTGCATTTGTTGCTGAATTGTGTTGTTGTTGTGAATTATTTTTATTATTATAATTAAATTGAAAATAACGATTTTGTGTAATATGTTGTGGATAAGTTTTTTGTTGTAGTTGCTGCTGCTTGCTATGAGCTGTTGATCTTTTAAATTTATATGTAGGCTGAGATTTCAATGAACCTCCAGTGGTGGGTGTAGATAAAGTTAGCTGACTTTTCCAATCTACAATGAAAAATGAGATAAAGATAAGAAAAAAAAAAAAAAAATTATTATGCATTTTTAAAAGGATAAAACTAAAATTGAACCCGTACTTATGCGATATTATTTTGCACGTCCTATTCTAGTGTACGAAAACAGAGTTCGCCGTACTCATTGACCGTGCAAAAAAACAAACCGTACAAAATCAGGTTCAACTAACTATACAATGAAATCATCAGAGATTGAAATGTTTTCCGTAAAGTTTTCCATAAAGTAAGACTCTCGAGCATTTCGAGGATTGCCAAGTTCAAGCAGAAACGTTGGCCAACAATGCACGTCGATGCAGTAAAACGTATGAATAATGTGTGATTATATCTGAAAATCGTTCAGGTAAGAACGGAGTTCCCTTCAAATTTCAGCTGTATTAGTCAACCAGGAGAGACTCCCGTTTCAATCTTTACAGCGTTGCGAACTCCCACAGTAACCAAGAAACTGAATCGACAAACGAAATGATGTTAGCCGAGACAGTACATAAATTTAAATATTTGCAAATGGGCATTTCTGTTTACTTGAAATGACATAACCGATTCCAAGGTATCAACGAAATGTTTTTGATTCGAAAATTGCAAAAGAACGACCGAATAAGTGACGCAACGTGCGGTTCTGCGATATTAAATCAACAAGAAGAATTTACTTGGCTTGAGATAGTTTATGAAAAGTGCGAGACACTTTGCTAAACTTATGTCAGTTTGTTCTGGGACTTTGGACCGTACGTGATAAGTTTTGTTTTCGTGCATATAGTTAAATGCCGTCCACATCTTTTTTAAGGCGTTAAGCTGTGATCATTCGATAACAATAAGAAGCACCAGCATCAGCTTTCTATCTTAATTTTTCTCGACGAGAGCTTAGCAACAACTTACTACAAATAAACGGACGGACGAAAGTAACAAATATATTACACTGATCAAGAATATGTATACTTCGGGTTTTTTTTTTCGTGTTTCGGAGGAAGGTACAAAAACACGGGGTAACACAAGCATTGAAACATGGATACTAATTATGGTCAGCTGAAAAATTTCAAATCGAAAAGGTGTAATTATTACAAACATCAAATATAAAAAGTTCGAAATAAAATTATAAAACTATAAAATCTACAAATGTGCAAATGATGCGTGACAGGTGAATGCTGTAGAACTAGTTCCAAAGGGAGCACTACGCAGTTCTTGCATTTCAAATTTTTTTATATTCTCAACATGACAAATTCAGATGCGTTGCCAGTCATAAGAAGTAACGGCAATTTTGGAAAAGGGGCAATGCGAACACATCATGGAATATATCTCATCGCATATGGTTTGGGAGTCCATCAATTCCAAGAGATGGGAACGGAATTCATTTCACAAAAGGAAGAACGCTTTTGCGTAATCGTTGATCTGTGAAACAATTAACCTCGAAGCAAGCTTATATTTTAATAAAAAGCCGTCCGATAATTCATATTTAAAATTTCATTACGGCTAACATTTCCCATTTTTGTTTGAGTATTAACAGTCTCAACCATCAGTCGTACGAATCTGTGAGGTGCAGTGGAAACAGCAATTTTTTTTTGGTAGAACAAGATATTGCAAATAAAGAGAAACAAATATAATAAAATTAAGAAAATAGAGCAGAAGAGAATTGATGAGAACAAAAAAACGGTACGTATTTATTTATTTTTAATTTAACAGAATTTCACAGCCACGCATGTTATTAATGTTAAAAAACAATTTTAACTTTAATATAATCACAAGGGGACAATGAAGATAAATCTATTCTATCAAGAAATTAAATAGCTATGTAGTTTACATATAGTAATAAAGAACGTTTTAATTTAATTAAATAACAATGGAAGACGATGAACTCTTCAAACAAATAATAATAATAATGCACGCGTTTTATAAAAGCACAATAAGATGCAATTATTAATCTCAACAATAATAACTCACTCAAATCTTTTCTATCTCTCTTGAGTATTTGAAATGTATGCGTGAGAATCGAGAAGCACTCAGCAAACAAAATCAGAATGCATAATAAGAATATACAAGATAGAAATTGCAAGAACGGCGCAGAGAGAAATGAGTGCCGTACCGGCCGACTCTACCGATTCTACCGAGGGAGATTGCAAAACAGATTACAAAGCCTAATGATAAAAGCTACGATAATGAGAGGAGAGAGAGAGAGAGAGAGAGAGAGAGAGAGAGGATATCCAAAAGAACAAATAAATAAATAAATAAATAGAAAAAAAAGGGCACAAGTGCTAAGCAGATAAAAGGAACAAAAAAAAAATTCAAGTAAGTTGAAAAAACTTGTTTCCAGCTGATTTCTCAGCTGGAAATCGGAAATCAGTTGTTCGTTGAAGTAAAAAAGAAAAGCAAATAAAAACAGACAAACACAAAAAGTAAATATCTCGGCTTTTAAGGTATATAAATATATACAAGAGACACATACGCGTGGATAGATGTGTGAGAAATTCGTATGTATCTAATCGAAAAATGTATGCATTTTTCGTTGCATGCACAATCATGTTTATCCATGCACATAAAGAGGTTGCAAATTATTGATTTAATATTATTATCATTATAATATGTAGATATGTATTTTATTGTCAATAAAAAGGGCATAATCAAATTTTTTAAATTTAAGCAAAATTTAAAATTTAAATCTATACGTGTCCGTCGCCGGAAAATCGTAACGAAACATAAGATGAAGTGTCCATCTAGTCCCTTTTCTCTTAAATTTCTGGTCAATCCCTACAAATCTTCCCAACTTTTCAAACATATTGAATTATTTGATCCTTCCGCGACAGTTTTAATATTTTAGACTGAATTCAACTTTTCAACCTCGATCGTCCATATCAAACCAAATCGATAAATGCGAATTGTACGATTTTAGACACGATTACGAGACAATTTAATCCCAGGGACACAAAAGATAATAAATTATTCCTTTCAATCATTAATAAGCCAAGTCGTTTATGGAAGGAAAAAAATTAATTTTTCAAACAGTGATTACCTTATAGTTTGAAAACTGGAAAATAAAGTTCGAAATTTCATAGGACTTATTTCAATTGGACCGTTTGAGTGCAATTGAGGTGCCATCGAAAGCAATCGAAGATGTACAACACCAGGCATAAATTTTTCTGAAAACTAATTTTATAAATATATACAAAATATGTACGCATGAGAATACAAAGGAGACGGGATAACAAAAAAAGATTCGACTCAAGCCGAAACCCCTTTTTCAGTTTATTCTATTATATTTTGCTGTTTTTTCTTTGACTTACCTGTAGCTAGAGTGTAGTAAGCTGAATATTGATTTTGTACGGCTAACACCTCCATGTTCATTTACCCGTAGAAAAAAAATTAACAATTAGAAAATGTAAAAAAAAAAAAAAAAAAATTCAACAGTCCAACAAAACGACGATAAAAACTATCTGAGATGGAGAGATTAAAAAATATCACAATTTCGGTTTCTCGTGCTTTAATTCAATAAGAGCTTAAAGAGAGTACTTCTTTCATTTAATTCAGGAGTTTGAATTCGTCGATTATCGCACAATTTTTAATGTTAATGTTGCAAAGAAGTTAAAAACAAAAAAAAACAAAAAAAAAACAAAAAAAAGACATAAAAATCAAAACGGAATATAAAAAGAAAATACGGCACTCGTTTGTTGCTGTTGTCATGTATTTTGTAGGTGAAAATTATTAAATGAATGTTTTGCTTTTCATTTGGTTTAAAAGAAGTAATTATTTGTTATTACTTTCATTATTATTGCGGTAGTTGATTGATGCATTCTCTGTGTTCTGCTACATACATGAGATACTTTATCGTAGATTAAAAACTATATCACTTTTTTTTTTTTTTTTTAAATATTTATTTTATTAAAATTAAAAAATTAAATTTGCACTTTTTGTTGTTGTTGTTGCTGATAAATTCAATTAATGTTAGTAGCGATAATTACGTTTGTTGACTTTGAAAATATATTAGAAATTTTGAATTTATTCTCGTTTGATTTAATTGAATGAAAAACGGAAAAATTGAACGAAATACTGCTGTTGTTGGTTTTCTTATTACTGGATGTTGTTGCTGTTGCAAAATGATTGTGAGAGACAAATTCGGATGAAATTATTCTTGCCTGATGAATATATATATTTTTTATTTATATTTATATTTCTATATATATATATATATATATATATATATATATATAT